AAAGACAACCGGAAACAGGGACATTTTTTGCCGACATTTTCAAATAACAATATTGTTATTTTGCAGCCAGGAGTTATATAACTTGACGAACTGTAACATTTGAATACCTTGTTAAAAAAAAAAAAATCAATCGTGTGATGATTTTGATTAGCTGTTTCGATTGAATTTTCCATAAAGTGATTTAAAAATTCAGAAGAACTCTTTTGACATTAAACTTCAGACCTGGAAATAAGATTATGAAGAAAATGGCTGCAGTGTGCAAAGTGATATGCAGTAGTGGGCTTAAAAAGTCACAAGGCATATTAGCAGAACGGTGAAGACAGCTACAGAGAGGAAAAAGACTGAGTGAGACTGCGTGAGAGAGGAAAGAAAAACCGGAGTGAGATAGAGACCTAAAACGCTCCCGAAGCCCGTCACATGGGGCCTGAAGTCGCACTGCTCAGCACTTCCTCTTGTAGGTCTGTCTGCTCCTGACATTTATCTGCTTTATTAGATTATCTGGGCTACATGGCTCATGCTGGCCCACGCACATGCAGATACATACATTCACGCGCACCTCTCGATTCATTACAGCACTAACTGCTTACTTTAGGTTTATGCCCTCTTTAAATTAAACCACAGATAACCACGGGAAAACAGAAGGGAGGAGAGGCTAAAGCTGGCCATTGAGGAGGAAATTAAGAAACATTGTTTGGGAGTGTATTATCATGCATGTGTGAGTGGTCATAAGGTTGCTTTTTAACGGGCTCATCTATAGGGACTCTGCTTCCCATCATTAGTAATTCAATTTGCGCTTTATTAGCAGCTCTTATCGGAGGCACAGACGGGCCACGGTGGGCAGCTTTCCTCACTCCATCTTCCTCTGCACTCCACCCTCTTGATTCTGAATCCCCTTCTTTAATTAGAGACGCATGTGTTCCTGCTGTAAGCCGTTCAAGGTGTCCACATGACACGGAGAAATGATGGAGAGGAAAGGAAGGGGGGAAAGGACGTGCACAAAAGTTACAGAATCAGAAAAGGAAAGGCAGAGTGATAGACACAGAGCCATGGGGACGAATAAAGCCTAATGTTAATAGTGATGGCTTTTTCTAATGTCTTCTGACTTCATTGAGTATGGGAGATTACACCAAGATGGGCATGAGGCGTGTAGGGTACACGCAGAACGACCGGAGGGTTGGAGGGGCAAGAGGAGGGGGAGGGAGGAGGGGAGAGAGACGGAGAAGGGAGGGAGGACTGTAAAAACAATGATTGCTTTCCATCAGGTTAGGCCTATATTCTACAGTTCGTTAAAACAATCCAATTTGCAAAAGGATAATTATGCATTAGCTCCTTTTTATCTACTGGAAGGAGAGCGGTGCCAGGGCTTGATAGCGGTGGCGCTGCCTGCCTCCACCTCTGCAAATTACCCGCTATCGGCACTTGTTCGCCATCACGGCTGAATTGGGCAATCAATTAACCCCCCCCCCTTCACCTCCTCTTAGAGAGTGCCTGTGAGCCTCTCTAGTGACAGCCAGATACACAAAGCCCAGACAAGGAGGAATACTCGGATGTGAGCTGTTGCCCTCTACTGGAGACAGCTGGAATAATGGCTGAAGGGCCAATTAGTTGTCTCTCAATTCAATAAGACATAGCTTATAATCAAGTGATGAGTATGTGGTGTGTTCACAGCGGAACAAGTATAAATCGGTAAATACTAGACTCCACTGTTTTGCTCTTTTGATAACGCTGCGCAATTTGCATATATTAGACTAACCCTATCTCATTGCATTACATTTAAAGTAAATTAAAAAACTGCACCTACTTTGCATGCCTGTATTAATGTTATTTTTTTTGCATTATTAAATTGTTTATCTTTTATTTTATTTTAAACTCCTTTGCAATGTTTTGATAACCGGCAACAAAATATTGTTCCTAATTGGGATTTGTCCGTTCATCCATTCTTCCATCCATCCATGAATATTTTTTAAAACATATTTATATCAGCCTTAATCTTAAGAAAATCTTTCTGGTGGAATACAGGGGTTTTTGGAAACTAACTGCAAAAACAATGTACTACGACAATAAGCATATTGGTAAATACAGAATACGTTCTACAAGTATGCAGTATTCTGCAAAAGAACCATTACCAGTGAAACAAAACATAATATTATCAAATCCTAAAACTAATAATTATCTCAATAATCACTCATTTGGTCCTAATGTCAGGAGTGGTTGAGTGGTTGATGGACAGTTGGTGAGTTATTGGCTAAAACAAGTTGCAATAGCACCACCAACTGGCCATCCAGTGTAACTCTAAACTAAAGAGTGGGTGGGAAATCAACATTATATACAAAGTTATGTTGCTGTGGGTCTTACTGTATGGTTGCTGCGCTCCCCATGCTTGTGAGTGAGGGAGAAAAGAAGGAATATATTTTTTTAAAAGAATAAAAAAATAACAATAGCCGCATTCACACCGCAGCAGTAGCGTGGCGTGGGGAAAAAATTAGGGGAAGCCAATAATACGTCCTTTCTTTTGGGTCGGGGGTCTGGTGGTCAATGTAATAACGTAACCAGATGAGTGATTACAGCACCCGGTATCATTTTACACACATTTGTATCATACAGATGCAGGACTTACACACGCCTGTTATCTAACCGACATGTCCGCACGCACTCTCCAGCCCAAACTCTAATAAGCATTCATTCACAAACTAAATCAGGAGACCTTTAACGTTTTACGTCCGATTCGCTCCTTTTTTCCTCGCTGTACACAGCTCCAGTTTGGGCATCGGCCTGTCATCAGATTGTATTTGTTGTTGCTGCTGTAGCAAAAGTTTAGTACAATTATTTTTGATGAAATACTCCACATCTCCACCCTCCATAATTGCACTTGCTTCAGTTGCTTGCTACTTTCTAACGGCGGTGAGAGTGATGCAGTGACGCTATCTATCTTCTATCGATTAGATTTATGATTCTGAGGATAGACATGTGGATATTATCCGACTGAACAAAACTTGCATTTATCTAACAGGTTCGTTTTCCACTGACCTTATTTCGAGCTATTTTCCTATGGAGAATTCCCATGGCTTTTTTGTTGAGGGAAACCGAGCGCAGTTTACTTCCGGATTTTAGGATGCGTCACTGCAACACTAAGTTGATGCGATTTGATTGGATTGTGAGGCAAGGGAAGCCAGCCGCCTCTGGCTTCCCTTGGCATGGCCCTGACCAATCACAGGTTGGCAGGGGCATGACGTGAGCCTCATCTGATTGGTCAATCCCTCCAAAAAAATTCACCAAGGGAAGCCAGATTCGGCTGGCCTCCTCTCGCAACAGTGAGTGCAATCTACTGTTTCACCATAACATCTAGAGGGGCGCTGTTTGTTTCACTCTTTGTAAAATACTCAATGAGAATGGGGGAGAGACGGGCCGGCAGCAACACACAGCAAAGGAGAATTATCGAAACAAAACAAAGTGTTTTTATTTATTTATTTAAATTATAACTACAATCCGAAAAAACAGGGGATGCCTGGCTTCCCCTGGCCTCCGGGAGAAAACGCCACTGCACCGCAGTACTTTTCACACTTTAGTTCCGATATAGTTCCGAAATGTCACGTTCACACCAAAAAGAGCCGGAACTAAAATTAGTTCATCAGAACCATTTTCACCCCCTTTTCCGTCCCTGCTAGAGAGCAGTGACTTTCGTGGGAGAAAAAGGTTCCTATGTCTGATTGGCTGGGCGGATTGCAAACCACGCCCCGTAAAACTCCCAAAATGTTTTGTGAAGCCACCATTTTATTATCCTCGCATTAGCATTATTAGCATTAGCATTAGCCCAGCGCACCAACAGAGAGAGACCAACTTATGGCAACACAAAAGAAAACATGGGAGCGGTGGAGATGAGGAGGTGTCGGTGTTCTGGTGATTTACTCGGAAGGCTTCAGTAGAAGCTGCTGGGACTCCCAGCAGCTTCTACTGAAGCCAGTCCCCAACTCCAGGGACTTCTGGCCGGGGACTTTGGGCGGCAGTATACGCCGTGAAGTTGTTTGCGGCCTGCCAGTAAACCCAAAGCAGAAGAAGAACAAGTGACGTCAGCGGCTTCATTTGCCTAATCCTCCCTCAGGGATTTATTCCGGTGTGAACGCGATCTGCTCTTTAGTTCATCAGAACTAAGTACTGGGAACTAAGTACGGCAAAGTACTTGGTGTGAAAGCGCCTAATATGGTTCTTACATTTCTATCAAATATTGCACACAATTGTAACCTCAAACTATGTAATGTGATTTGCAATATAGGAGCATATGGTTGGCAACTCATAACAGGGAAAACTGTCCATTAAAAAACAACCTAATGAAATGAGCAGAACTATACTTAATAACACTCAATACTGTCAATACTGTTAACATTGCACATTCCTATTTACTGCACAAGTTATTTGTCATAACGTCCTTATTTTATTTGTTTATTTATTTTCATTGTAAACATTTCTTCTTATTCTTTACATTTTTTATAGTATTTGTTTATGGTTATTTTTCATAGTTGTAAAATTGCTACATTGTAGCAATTTTTTTTTACAACCTTATTACTCTTAATGTGTTTTTGCGTGGACCATTACAAACAAAAGCAAATTCCTTGTATTTGATTTATTTTCTATGCTTATTAGCTTTTATCCGTGCTTGCTTTTGCAGTTGTTGTGTTTTAAAGGATTTGGATGAATGTGCTTTTAATGGTGCATCTGCTTTAATATGTGCTGTGATTGTGTGTTGTTGTGTGCGCTGACTGCTTACGTGCTGTTATTGTGCTTATGTGGAGGATTTTTCTTTATTATGTGCTCCTTTATACTTTGTTTTAATACCATCAACCTGCAAGCTAAATCTGGCACATTACATTAAGTTATGTAACCAAGTGTCAATTCAAGTGAATTGTCCCGTCTTTATAGGTAAAAAAACTATTATATAACAAAATAAATGTCTAAATATTCCCAATGAACCTGACTGATTGTAACCATAGGTGTCTGATTCCTACCTGTCTTTGTTGATGTGGGGGAGAGCCGCCTCAACTTGTGCCTACCAAAAGACACCAGCTCCCTGGAGGGCGTCCTCCGTCCTCCTGTGGGACTCCTGGCGTAGCTGTGCGTCCGACCGCGGGGGGAGTACTTCACCGCTGACGGGCTGCCCCCCTTCTCTGAACCAGCTCCACTGTAGTTACAGGACAGAGGGCAGAAGAGAAACATGTGATCAATAAAACATCAGAAGCTACTTTTATCCAAGTTAAGTTGAATAAAATACAATTAATTAAAGGTCTATTTTTAAGCATATATTATGTGTCTCAGATATATAAAAAACATATCTATGATGTGTTTTGCACAAAATACCAAACAGATCAAGCATTTTAGACACCCCTCATATCCCTCTGGTTTAGCCCTGTTAGAGAAGTGCTGATCTGGGTCCTTAGCTTGAGAAAAAAAAAAAAGAGGAGGGGGAGCAAATGCCTGCTCAGAATTCTACGAGATACTCAGCTAAATGCTGCCGTGATTAAACGCCATATCATGTTCCAAACCACATCAAGGATTATTTCTGAAACAGTATGGAGCTCAAATGCTTTTTCTCTTGTGGGTTTACCACAAGGTGAGCTCCTTTTTAATTTCCTGCACTTTTACACATACTCTCTCCAGCTTAGCTCTGAGTGTTAGCGATGCTTGATAATACCATATTACTTCCAAAACAGTCAGGCAATGTTTCTGATAGCAACGTTTCTGACAGTGCCGTGGGTCCACATTTACGATATTAACTCATTTCGGACCTATCGAATCTGGATCGGCTCCGTTGTACCCCCGTTTTTAGAGATGTGGGTATGGAGGAAAAGAGAGAGGGTTGTGTTTTCTGACACTTTGTGAGTTCCCTGACACACCGGACGGAGACACATATTCATGTATAAAAGACATCAAAAGGTGCATTTTGCTGATGATGGGTCCCCTTTAAAGTATATGCCATACTTTACTACCTCCATCTGGCTAAAGACTTAGGGTTGCATGATAAATAAATAAAATGTATTGAAAAATGCAATATGGACAAGTGCAATTTTCCAATAGCAGAAACCACAATATGTCTTTAAGGCAATATGTGTGTTAATAAACCATTTTGAATCAAGTTTTAAGGAGCTGGGGAGAAATAAAACAAATATATTTGATTGGTAGAGATTATCTTAAAATATTAAATCACCCCATGATCATTTTTATATATTTTTCAATGATAATATTTCTAAATGATCCCTCCAATAATGTGAATCAAATCGCAATACCAATCTGAATAATTGCAATTAGTTATTTATTCCAAAATGTGCAGCCCTAAGACAGTTATTCTTAAACATTTTATTTTTCATTGACCTTTATTTAACCAGGATAGGTCTCATTTGGTCTTGGTGCAGAGCTAAGACACACGTTACTATAACTTACCCAGTAGCAGACCTCCGAATGATTTTCATCCTGCTGCGGAGCTTGAACCCAGCAGGTGAGGAGGAGGGCATCAGGGAGGTGCGTTGGGTTACAGACGGGGAGACAACGAGCCCTCCTTTCACACCTTTGTTGTTTTTTTCAGACGTCCAGTGGAAGGCAGATCTACGACGGGCTACTGCCGCCACTCCAGTCGCTGCAGCAGAGGAACTCCAGCCTCCAGCCTTCCAGCGATAACGGCTGCTCAGTGAGGAGTTGGGAGAGGAGCCCGCAATTCCCTTTTTGATCTTAGGAGAGGGATTGGAGGCTGCTCTGGGTTTCTTGGTCGTCTCTCCCTTCTCCACGGCTCTCTGTGCTACAAACATGGATTTTGGCGATAGTGACTTTCGAGGGATTCTAGCCTGGGCTCCAGCCGAGGAGGACACCCATTTGTACTTGGAAGTCTTTGGGGTTATATTGGCGGAGCTTATCTTTCGAGGTAACTTCTTAGTAGGCGTTTTCTTACTGATTGCCAAAATGGGGGGGCTTGCACCTGCGACCCCAGCTTTTGAAATTGATGGCGGGGCAACAGTCACAGATTTGCCTTTGGGTGACGGAATGGAGCTAGCTTGTTTGGGCTCCACTTCTTTCTCCGTCTGGCTTTTGATCCAAGTGAATTTGGAATTTTCCGTAAAAGATGCACCCGCCTGGCCCTTGCTGGATTGATTTGTGGGGTTGACAGACGGTTGTTTTGATACTTCTGAAAGCCCAGAGAGAGGTGGTATGGCATTAGCAGTTGTAAGAGTTGCTAGTTTTATCGTAGTAGCAGTCAGTTTAGTCCCAGTGCTGGTTTTGCTCGTCAGGGAGGGTTTGATCTGTGCTTGAGGGTTGCTCTGCAAACTGGTCAGGGTGTTCGACTCAACTGAAGGCGCCACTTCGGCAGAAGCATTATTTTTCTCTTTAGGCAGGAGAACACGCCTGGTTTCGGTCCTATCCTGAATTGCTGGCGTCCGTCCCTGAAGCTTTTCGTGTTGAACACTAGTGCCTTTTTCATCTTCGTGCTGATAAACAGCTGCACCGGTTTTTCTAAGAGTATCACTGTGTTTTTTCTCTGTTGTAACTTCCCCTAATGATGAAGCGGCAGTTGTGATTGTATCACTCTTCTCTCCTCTGCTGTGACTGGGCAGTGAGGTGCTGTGAGATACACTTTGGGACTGTCCAACAGAGGAGGTAGAAGCTGATGTGTGTACTACAGAGGACTGGGGGTTCTTGTTGCTCAGGGAGTATGTTTTCCTCCAACTTCCACGGCTGTGAGGAGCTAACTGTCTCCCTCTGGAGCTGTCATGATGATGGACAGATGTGCTGTGACCTCTTCCCCGGGCGGATGTTGGAGCTTCTGGACGCCTATGCTCATCTCTTGCAAATGGAGCGTCTCCATGGACACTCTTGTGAGTATTGATGAGATCTGAGAATGAGAAAATAAGTTATTCAGTTGTACAATCAGATTACAGATTTATAAAAAAAGAAAAAGAAAACAGAGACCTTGTAAAGAGTTGGATTTATACACAACATTTGTTTTTTCTTTATAGTGATAGGATTTAGTTTGTAGATAAAAGGGAAAAAACGAAGCACCAAAACAATATGTCATACTGTAAAATGTAACGTTAATTAAAACAAAGCTGGTTTTTTTCCTGTAGCGTTCATCAGTTAAGTGAACCGACCGTTTACCGTAAAGCTTTGCATCTGAAGATTTGGCTAAACTAACCTGTTGACACATTATTAACATCAAACTCTAATACCCTAGTTAGCTAACTAATGCTACATATTTTCACGTGCAGTATATTACGGATGTTAAATCATTGAATGTTGTTTATAAGATAATAACATGATAAAAAGCACCAACGTGTCGTCTTAAGACGAATGTGCGTTTCGAACTGGATGCTAAGCTAACGATAAACTTTCATTCTTAAATGCTTAAAAACGCGCAACATTCACAAGACAGCTCTGAATTTAAAGAAGACAACAATTGAAACCTGTTTCCTAACCCGCCTTGTCACAAACTGTTAACGTTTAAAACGAGGAATTTACTTTGTAAAAGTTCAATTTCCCTCTTCAGTGCTTCTTTCTCCTCCATGTTTACTACTGGATGTCTTCGTCATCAACCTACGACAAAAACAGGCACTTCTGGATGATGTCAGTTAAACCGCCCAATCACAGAACGCCTTCAGAGCGGATACTGTTTTTTTACCAGCCCTTTGTCTTGTCTTACAGGTAAGATTGTTGCCAAAGTGCCCTGTAATTGTCTGCGATTTTATTTGATATGGTTAATAGAATTGTTTGGGGAATTTACTTTGATATTGTAGTTAAAGCAACACAAAACCTTCAAATGAACAGAAGGCATTTTAAAGTGTATTTGTATTATTATTTTCAATGTTTCATTGTGTCATTAAATATGAGTTGTCAGTCAATCAAAACCACAGTAATTTAGACTAGATGCATTGTAAAGTGACAGCCAATTAATTTACCAATACTAACAGAAATAAGAAGTTATCTTGAAGTTATGGAGTGTATTTATAGGTCCACAGCATTTGCTGAAATGCAACGTAAGTTGCGTAAGTGTCGTTCTGGTCTTGTTAAGAAAAATATCACAGACCTAGCTAGTGGAACTTTTTCCACAGAAGATTGTTCAAGTGAAAACTGTTCTCATATCTGCCAGTGGATTATTCAGTGTGATTGAGGCAATACAGTAATTCTAAAAAGATACGTTTGTTTTGTAAAATGTTTAAAACTGTACGCAAAAATAATAAGAATCCAGTAAGCAGGACTGTTATGAGAATACAATTCCAACAGAAACAGAACCCTAACTAACCCTAACCCCCCCCAAAAAAATGAAAGTGGGAACAAATTGAAGAAACTTCCGGGAGAGAGAATGGTTAGGGATCCCTCTCCCTGCATTTACAGACACGCAATTGTGCGAGACTTTATATAACCGATTTACACACTGCACCACGTGAATGGTTATTTGTCTGTAAGACCGTACTGGGGGCTCTATAGTCCAATCATCATTTGTAAACGACTTGTGTAAACTGGCTGTCAAATGATTTCAAAACAACGGCGTCACTATTATTTTATTTCTGACATTAATTATATCTTTCGTAGAACTTCGTTATTGCCAAAAGGTTGTTCAAGTACAATTCAACATTCTTATCGATGAGGGTAAAACGCTGATGACGACTGAAGTGAAATGAAACGGGAAGTGAAAGTTAAAGCTGCTGGTTTGGACATAAACCAAAAAGAGCGTAGATAGAAGAGAAAGCAAGGCTTAAAGTTGCTTGAGAAGTGAAGGTAAGGCCTACTTTGCCAATATTTCTCCTGAAAGTACGAAAATAGTCCGTAATTGCTCACATACTTAATGCTAATATTTGACCAATATGGTTTATTTTGTATTCGTTTTTCTTTGTTTTGGACTCCGTTTTGGGCAAATGTGTTAAACCCATTTGTGGTGGTGGCGTTTCGACAGGGAGACTAAGAGAGAAAGTAGTATAGATATCATTTGTGACGCACCCCTAAACGTGTATTTGATTCCGACAGCTAGTTCAGTGTTGTTGCTAACGTCAGTTAGAGAGCTAGCTTGACTGTTGTTGTCGACACAATTCATATTAAAAGTACTGTCATTGTAGTGACGTGTGTGTGTGTGTGTGTGTGTGTGTGTGTGTGTGTGTGTGTGTGTGTGTGTGTGTGTGTGTGTGTGTGTGTGTGTGTGTGTGTGTGTGTGTGTGTGTGTGTGTGTGTGTGTGTGTGTGTGTGTGTGTGTGTGTGTGTGTGTGTGTGTGTGTGTGTGTGTGTGTGTGTGTGTGTGTGTGTGTGTGTGTGTGTGTGTGTGTGTGTGTGTGTGTGTGTGTGTGTTTACAGTACCCTGCTCATCACCATGACGTCAACAAATTACCTGTACTTCATCGTAAAGACAAAACCTCAATTCCCAGGACACATCAATGCTGGCCAAATATGCTACATCAAGGAATCAATCTACAATAAAAAAAAAACAGTCAGAGAAAGGTCTCCATCTTCTGCAAAGTTGCCCGTCTTCCTTCTTGGTTCAATTTCAAGCTTAGATTATGAAATAGAGGTGAGTAACATGGATAGGCTGAGTGCACAGGAAGTGGAGCTGCTTCTGGCCCTCCCTGAGGACGAAGAGAGGCTGACCTGGTTCAGAGAGAGAGAAGCTCTTCAAACAGCTCTGGGACTCACACTGGGAAGTCCTGTGATTGTGGAGGAAGGAGGAGAGAAGCTCAGAGGCATCATTCGCTACATTGGACCGATTACAGAGACCCCATTGGATCTCATTTCAGGAAAGTTCTTTGGCATTGAACTGCAGGTGGGACTTTAAGGATGTCTGTTCAACCAGATCATGTATTTTCTTTCCTGCTGTCCCTGGCTGAAATACCCATTTTCATACAATTGTATTTTAGGTTAGATATATACTTTTCATATTAAAAGCATCAACTCAACAATGGAGGTCAATGGAATTGGATGTGTTACATGCAAAGAAAAACAAGTGATTACATATGGTGATTTTGCACCTTAGATTATGTCAGAGATAAAGATTAATGGCTGATACCACTAGTGGATGTTTTTGGTTGAACTTGTATATAGTTTATCAATCATTAACAGTCAAATGTACAGATCCATTTATAGATGTATTGAATTTGAAAATGTAAGGTATACTATTAAGCAGTGCTGCTATGCTTCTTTCTCCCCAGGGGGAAGACAGAGGGAATGGGCACACTGATGTGTCCTACAGAAACACAACCTTCTTCCCCTGTGAGAAATATTCAGGCATTTTTGCCGCATTCTCCAGAGTCAGACCTGCGGTTCCCAGCTCCTTGTCACCCTCCGTCCCAAAGCACTCTGCACAAACTGAAGCAGAAGGGCTAAACGTGGGGGATAGAGTCACCTACTTCATCGATGAGAAATGTCGACATGGAATGGTGCTGTATCTGCAGGGAGATTCTGTTAAGATCTCTACAGTAAGTAATATAGCATTCCTTTTTTTAACTTTTGTAGCTTAGTGACATCACTATGTATCAAATGCGCTTCTATTGCTAGCACTCCAACACACTGTACGTGATTAGCTATGGGGCGGGACAACGCTAAGCAGTTGACCAACCACAACAGAGCCGGCCAGTTAACCAATCAGAGCAGACTAGGCACTCGTTTCAGACAGAGGGTGAACAAATAGTGAAAAATAAAGACCTTTTTTAACATTAAAGCATGTAAACATGTCACAGTAGAGGCACAACATACACATTTGAAAAATAAGCACAATAGGGCCCCTTTAAATATGTGATATGTTTTTGCTGCTTTTTAAAATGTTGTTTAAAAATGCAGCCATTCCTTAGTGCTCTACTCGTCTGGTGAATAAAAGACACCAGTCACGCTGACTTATTCCTAATATGTGTTCATATTATATCAATATGTATATAGTTGATCTTATTATCACCAGGGATCCTCATAGCACTGTAGCTTCCTGGTTCTTTGTGTATACTGTAAAGGGGATGCTAATAAAAAAGAAAAGTGTCACTTCCTTAAGTACAAAGTGAGCAATTTGCATTACATTTACCATTTTGTGTTTTTTCAGGACAAAGATGAGTCTGGAAAGAGAGGGGGCGAAGTAGAAGTTCCACTGCATGAGGTTGTTAAGGGGGAGGTGCCTGCAGGTTCGAGCCACTCCTTATATGATCAACTTTGAAACTATTACACACATTTGTCAAACCTCTGACCCAAATGTATGTTTCACCGCAGAGCCAGAGAGTATGGTTGTTGATTCACCTCCAGAGGAACCAGACACTGAGGATCTGTATACGGATCTCAGCGTGAACTCTGTGGTGGAGGTGACTCTGGGTGATCGCAACTCCTACGGAATCATCCGCTGGATCGGCACTCCGCTGGGTCGACAGGAAATCATGGCTGGACTAGAGCTGGTAATATTTATACCCAGGCCTTTCGCTTTAAAATGTTTTGTTGGAAGATATATTGTCACAGAAATATCTGCGATAAACAATATTATTCTTATTTTAGGCCCCAATTCTATTTGAAATGTGCCATCTGTTCAAGTAAAGGAAACTCATAATATTATATTGAAATAATCTCCAATCAAAAGTTAAAGGCTGACCTTTCTGGGACAGTTTGTAAAGGTTCTAATGCATGTTACTGCTTTCCATTTCATTGTGTGTGTATTAAGACAACTCTTATGTGTATCTGTCTCCAGGAGGAAGACAAAGGAGTGAGTGATGGTACTATCTTTAGTGAACGTTTCTTCCGTTGTCCCAACAAGAGAGCTCTGTTTGTGAAGCTGCAGTCCTGCCGTCCTGACTCACGATTTCAGAGCGCATCTGCAGATCCCTGCAACAAGATGCCAAAACTTGAAGAAACAGGTCAGAACAACACAGATGAAGTGATTTTAGTTCAGTTTTGAGCATGTCCTTGCTTAGAGTGGTGTTATGTTGTTGTTTTATGAAAATCCATGTATTTCTCTAAAGTACGATTATAAGTCGGCAGTGCCCCCTTGTGGACACATTGATGCTGTGACCGAGTGACAGAAAACAATTATATTTTTATGTTTTATTTCCAGTCCCACATAACTGGAATATTTTGGTTGTTTTTTAAATAGTATTTATTTGATTTAGATTTTATTACATATCTAATAGAACTACATTCAATCATTTCAGATAAATAATCATTTTAGAATGTAAAATAAAAAAACCTGCATAGTCCACACCCATTATGATTATTATACTAATTAAAAAATTAAAAAATAACCCTATTTGTATAGCACCTTGTATACATAAAATCCAGCTCAAAGAGCTTTACAATATATCTTTTAAACCTCAAATAAACATAAAAACAGGAATAGAATGGCATATAAGATACCATTAATATTAAAATAGAATGCATTTTAGATAAAAAATAAATACCACCAAATAATGTTAATATTTAAATCAGTCTAGGCAGACGGAACATATACATTTAGAAACACTGCAGCAGCATTCAAGCGCTGGTTATCTGTTCTCATGTTTGTGTTTTAGATTTTTCCATTACGTTTCACAAGTGAAAAGTCAACACTGTGTGTGTGTGTGTGTGTGTGTGTGTGTGTGTGTGTCTGTGTGTGTGTGTGTGTGTGTTGTGTGTGTGTGTGTGTGTGTGTGTGTGTGTGTGTGTGTGTGTGTGTGTGTGTGGTGTGTGTGTGTGTGTGTGTGTGTGTGTGTGTGTGTGTGTGGGTGTGTGTGTGTGTGTGTGTGTGTGTGTGTGTGTGTTGTGTGTGTGTGTGTGTGTGTGTGTGTGTGTGTGTGTGTGTGTGTGTGTGTGTGTGTGTGTGTGTGTGTGTGTGTGTGTGTGTGTTTTCAGAGAGAGAGACGGAGCACAGTGCAGGGAAGCTGGAGACTGTCCCTCCTATCAGCACAGAGCAGGTTAAGCACATTCTGATTGGACGGATGAAGGGGATCCAAGGCCACTGCAACTCCTGCTACATGGACGCTGCGCTCTTTAGGTCAGGACCATGAAAACAAGACAGTAAAAGAATAAATAATTGTATGGTCTTTATGGGAAATTCAGCTGGGTTCATCTTATTTCTTATTCCTTTATGTGTTCGAAGTTACTCGTACAGTATGCTTGAACTTGGAATATAGTCCTTGCAAAAAACCTTGATTTTCAACATAATTTGTGAGTCATGAAAGCCAATAATTCTATTTAAAAAATAAAACAACCCTGCGACACATTTGTTTGTTTACCTCTGCCGTTTCAAATCATGTACAGTATTGTTTACTGTCCTTTATAACCATTCTCAAGTTAGTTTCAGATCTCTCCAAGAGTACCTTTTATGTATTTAAACATGTTTTTATACATACTTAAATATAAAAAACCCTTTTTCTGTGTGTGCTCTCAGCTTGTTTTCCTGCTCCTCTGTGTTGGACTCCATGCTGTTTAAATCAACAGAACCTCAAGACGCCCCGATTCAAAGAACACTGCTCCAGGACATTGTTAATCCCCTCCGCAGGTGTGTGTTTGCATTTGTTTAGCAGAGCAGTGAATGCTCTTTACGGTTATTCATTAATGTATCAATTCTGTTGTTGTGTTCTTTGCAGTAAGGGCTTTGTGGAAGGGCGTCACATCATGAAGCTCCGGCAGCAGCTGCAGAAACATGGCTACAGTCACTCCTTCACCACGGATGAGAAGGGTCAGTTTGATCTGGAAGCTTTTAAATACCTGATTTGTTTTTTCTAACGTGACTTTGCTTTTGTCTTTCAGATCCAGAGGAGTTCCTTACTGTCATCATGCACCACATTCTTGCTCTGGATCCTCTACTCAAACTGTACAGTTACACCACATTTGCATAGCTTGAATACAATTCAACTTTTAAATAAAGTTACAATCGATTTTTTACATTTTCCTCCCTCTCACATTTAGCTCAACAGGAGGTAAAGTGCAGGAGAGTTACTGCTATCAGATCTTCTTGGACCAGAACCGCCTGTTGCTGCCCACCGTGCAGCAGCTACTGGAGCATTCCTTCCACACTGCAGCTCTCAAGCTGGCAGAGGTAAACTGTCCACACATGTCCACAGTATGGAGTCGTGCAGTAGTGACATCTTTTTTGTAGGCCAACCCGGAAGTTAGCATCGCAAAGGCACCCTTGACAAAAAAATCAATGGGATTTTTTTTTTATTGGGTTTTGGATTATGGCAGGAAATAAGATCTGTGTTAAACACACATTTAGGATAGCAGGATAATCTCCACATATTAACACCACTTTTATAATATGTTATAAAAATTAAAATATTAAAATATTTTTTATTATAAATAAACTGTGAACTTTAATGCTACGATGTATGTGATGTCAGATAGTAATATAAGAGTAATAAATGAAAAACAGGTATGAAATACTATATCACAGCAAAACAAGAATAGAGTTTAAAAGGAGAGTGATTTGTAAAATATCCATGAAGAAAAAGTAATTCTGTTTCATCTGGGTGTTGAGAGATGTATTCATAGATCACTTCATGTTGCTCTCAAAGTGCACCAGATTGATGCTTTTAACTTCAATATTTAAAAAAAAATCTTCCCAGGGGAGCATGCCCCCAGACCCCCCTAGAGGAGGTTAGGTCCGCCCCCCACTTAAATAAAATAGCACTTTACTCCTGCTTACACATACAGTATATGCTGTGAGCTGATTATCGAGCCTTCATTGTAACAGTCGAGGGTGTACTGTGTGTGTGTGCGTGTGGGGAGTGTTGCAGTAGAACATTCCACTGTAGCGCCGGTACATTAATGGGAAACCCTACATGTTTGAGCACCCTCTATGAAACGTCAAGCTACCCCACAGCACCCCCAAAAGAAAATATCCGGCGTTGACACTGGCCGGCCCTCTCTGTAGATCTGTTCTAGCACCGGGTCTGTCCTCATATCTGTTCACAAACTAGACAAAAGTTAAACAAGTACAAACCACAGACTGTCTGTGTCATGGTGAATACAGTCGCTGCTTTATTTATGTCTGTAGGCCGTTGTTGTGAGTATGGACGGTCGGAGCATATACTGCGTTAGCTTAGCCGATATCCATTCAGAAAACACGCATTTTAAAAGGTTTTTCGCCTGCCGTCTGTCTGCAGACTTGTCAAAGCATTAATTCATGGTTGTTACTTCTGCATCATTTTGAAACGTGTATTACAATTAAATCACGGTCAAATATGTTCATTTTGTTGTAGTTGCAAGCGATTCTCTCACTAGCTTAGCATACTCAGCCCGGTTGTTGGCCCGGAAAGAACCTCGATTTTGGAGAGCCAGAAAAAGTACCCGCTAGCCGGAACTACGCCTAGTGGAAACGCAACCAAAAACGGGCCGGGCACGGCACGCTTAAACCGTGCTCCGCGCTGTAGTGGGAAAATTCGCCAAGACTCATTCCTGCACCACTTCACTGAAGAGCTTAGTTAGTGGTTTAAATGCATTTTTATTAACAAAAGTACGACTTTAGCAATTTGTATTGTGATTTACCTACATCCCTGTCATTATTTTCAGCCTGTTTCAATTAATCATGTTTATATTAAAACAAGGGAAATGGTAGGGATCATTTTCACCATCCATTTTTCTCGAAGTAATCATCAGTTGTTAGTTAGTAAATCTGGACATAGTCTGACTTTTGGTCACTTTTTAAACCAACAACAATTGTAGCTTAGGGTTTATTTGAGTGGTAAAAGCTGTAATAGCCTAATTATTTTGGGTATTGATACTTTTGTCGAACAATAACTTATAGTGTAACCAATTAAGCAACTATTTGTTTTAAGATAAATATTATTTATTGTGTTTATGATACTATGACAGCTCAATTCCTGAATAAAAAATATAAATAACATACGTATTCTTCATCTTCTTTCGTCAGGGAAACTGATGTTTCCTTTGGTTCTCCAGTAGATGTCTCTGTTGGTCAGATATTCTCATCTCCTGGAACAAGTACATTTGTGTGTGTAATCTTCATTATTTAATTTTTATATTGACTGCAGGCACCATCCTGCCTCATCCTCCAGATGCCTCGCTTTGGGAAGAAATTCAAGATGTTTGACAAGATCATTCCCTCTTTGGAGCTGGACATTACTGACCTCCTCTGTGAAGGTACCAGTAAACACACACACAACACATAGACTGACATGATTTAATAAAAATGGACTCAACATGTTGCATGTGTTACAGGTCTTCAGCAGTGCATGCTGTGCGGAGACTTGGCCGAGCTCGAGTGCTCCGACTGTTTCAAAGAGTCCCTTTTCAGCCACACAGGATTCAAAATATTCTGCGGGAAGTGTTCAACTCAGGTGCGCTTTGTATCATTGTCTGCCATTAACACCAGCTCTGTTAAAATATATATGTAGCTAAGGTATTTCTGAATCTGTTTATATTACTCCGTTTTTTAGGTAAAAAGTGTTTTCGACATATTTGGTCAAGATTTTGCATAGAACAACATGACATGCATATCCTCTATTGATACTGTACGTAGCTTAGTAAAGCATGTAGTGCTAAAATACTTTCAATTAAAAGGATAGTTCTGATGTCTTTAAGTGGGGTGGTACAAGGTACTTATCCACAGTCAGTGTATTAAATGGCAGTATGCATGGAAGAAAGCAATAGCTAGGGTCATCAGCAAAACTTCCATTCCAAAAACATGGATGTCAGAATGTCAGTCAGTCAATATGTCAGTTTAATTGCGCACTATATTTAGTATATTTTCTCCGAGTCACACAGCCATTTCTGATGGGGAACTGGAGCTTTTATATATGCTTTATTCGAAGTCAGCAGACTTCTTTGGAAGAAACAGTTGAAGTTATTTTTAACTCAAGGGACAATAAATTCACAAAAAAATCAAATGAAAGCAGCGGTAGACCTTCAATGTTCTGCAATGCAAAATCCATTTTTTTGTCAATGGAGTCTGTTGGCTTTGAAAAAAGAAGAGATAATCGGGAAATTGGTGAAAATATTCTAAATATAGTGTACCTGGCTAAAATATATTTAGCATTTATTTTATTCAGTAGATTTAAATACTTTTATTGTCCTATGCACAACATCTTCTGCGTGGTTATTGGCTATGAAAATGCCCTGTTATGCTTTTGGCGGTTTCCCTTTTCCTGTAGTGTGTTATATGGGTTCTTAAATGGTCTGCAAAGGCTCAAATCCCAAAGTTTCTCTCCCACATTACCCTCCTCCCCTGAAACCGCTCAATTGGACACTTTGTTTTCCGTAACAAAGTGACATCTCTAAGTAACACTCGCGCTTCTATTGGCTGGTGTTCCAACACATTATAAGATAGCTAACCAATCAGAGCAGACTGGGCTCTGGATTCACACAGAGGGGGAAAGGAAGTGCTGCAGAACAGGCAGTGTGAGAAAAAAAAGTTTGAACCTTAAAGCATGTAAACATGTCTAGTAAAGGCACAAAATACAATTATTAACCTGTAAATGAGCATAACAGGTTCACTTTAAGTCTGAGACTCCTGCAACAATGCAACATATATTCAACATGAAAGGAAAAAGACATACCAATTTGTAATAAAATGGTGCAATACTCCGAACGATGCAATTAAATTACAGCAATAAGTGTAGAATAAGATAAACAGAATATGATTGTAACTATACAGTAGAATACATACTATATACTGTACTAATAAATATATGTAATTTTGTTATGATAATATTGTTTCCTTAACCTTGGATAAGTATCTCATACTGTAAAACAAAATCCAGATGATCCCTTTCAGTAAATATACCAAATCTTCTTTTGATATACTATGAAAAAAATCAGCTGCACGCTAACTGCATGTGTTTCTTTCCTTAGGTGCACTCTCACCCTCAGCGCAGGTCCCATCAACCCACCGCACTGGATATTCCCAAGGCTTACCTGGCCAGCAGCAAACCTCATACTCTGATCAGAGACAAGCTGGAGCTGTTCGCTGTGCTCTGCATCGAGACCAGCCACTACGTGTCCTTCATCAAACACGGACCCAACAGCAACGACTGGATCTTCTTCGACAGCATGGCAGACAGACAAGGTGAGCCGTCTGTTTGGATAAATGGCCCATGACTTTTACAACATTTACACATGTATTCGGTGGCTTATTTGTGCTTTGTGTTCAGGAGAAAGTGACGGCTTCAACATCCCAGAGGTTCACGCCTGCCCCGAGGTCGGCACATACCTGGAAATGTCCATCGCAGAGCTGGCCAATCAGGTGCCTCGAGACATGAAAGGTGTGGCCAAACGTCTCTTCTGCGACGCCTACATGTACCTGTATCAGAGCCCCAGCATGTGTCTCTATCGCTAAGCCGACGCCACCCCATAGCTTTCTTTTTGCACAAAATGTAAAAATGGGTTTTGATTTGTGGATTGGTTTGATATTCTTTTATGAATGTGTGGTAGTACACACATAATCATTTAAAATGTGTATATATAGAATGTTCTGCCCTGGTTTCTGGAAATGTTTTGTCAGGCTTAAATAATTTATATTTTCTGTGATACTTTAAGAAGATAAAGCAGAAACTGACATCGCTTGCTCAATCATTTTTGCACAAAAAAATCATGGCATTGCTAGAAATCACTGATGTGTGTGACAAATGTTAAGTGAATGAGTGTAGAGGTTGAAAAAGATTACCAAGGAAGAAAGCCAAATAATGATTTCAGAGTGGCGGTCTAATAAATGCAACTTAAAGTTCTATTGGGAAAACACCGGTTTTATTTTGATATTAATGTTTCCTTAAAAATATGTGGTTATAAACAAAAATTAAGTTTCTATTTATAGATGCTTAGATATCTTTGGTTTTCAGAAAGACCAAAAATAATTTTCTTTTGATGTTCTCATATAAAACAGATAATTAAATGGCTATGGAACTTATCTTGCATATCTTTCTTAACTGTCGCACAGAAGCAATATGACTTAATGTGTATATACTGTATAATACAGCCACAAGGAAACCTGGACTGTATAGTAAGTACTCCTGGAGGTTCTTTACAGGTTTTTTAAAGGTTTTAAATGATAAACTCAGAGTATTAATATCTAAAGACAATGACGTCACATTCCCTCTGTGTGTCCCTGAACGTTCTCTGAAGTTATTATATACAGTATATATTTATGTGAACCTCTACAGAATTTCGCTGGCACTGGAGGATTTCTTGCTTGAAAAGCCTCCGTTGGACACCTTTATTTAATTCTGTAACATAATGACATCACTATGTAAAACTTGCGCTTCTATTGGCTAGCGTTCCAATACATTGTACATAATAATAATAATAATCCTTATATTTATTATAGCGCTTTATGAAAGACTCTCAAAGCGCTTTTACAAATTACACATACAGATCATACATGTAATGGTCATCTACTGTGGACAATACCCACAGGAGCAAATTCGGGTGAAGTGTCTTGCCCAAGGACACAACGGCCTGACGCAGTGGGGCGGGAGCGGGTTTCGAATTGGAGTTCCCCAATGCCCCCTTGATCTGATGATCAAACGCACAGACCACTGCGCCACCCGTCCCTAAGGGACATCTAAGGGGCAGGACATCTCTAAGCGGTTGACCAGTCACAACAGAGCCAACCGGCTAGCCAATCAGAGCAGACTGGGCTCTGGAGTCAGACCGAGGATGGAAAGAGGTGCTGCACGACAGGCAGTATGAGAAAAATACAGCAGTTTTTTAACATTAAACATATCACATTAGAAGAACAAAATACAAATATGAACCTTATAATGAGCATAATATATCATTTTTAATGTTTTGTTGATTTAATGAAATTCACCATGGCATCTTTGACTGTCTTTGCTGGTGCAAATGTCTCACACTAACTCAGTGGTTCTCAAACTTTTTCTGTCAGGCCCCCCCTTTGGAGAAAAAAAAAAGTCGGGCCCCCCCAACACAAATAGTCGGGCTCAGTGGCAGCACCAGAGATTTCTTTTGGGGGTGCTGTGGGGTAGCTTGACGTTTCATAGAGGGTGCTCAAACATTTAGGGTTTCCCATTAATGTACCGGTCGCCACAGTGGAATTTTCTACTGCAACACTCCCCACACGCATACACAGTGTTCCCGCAACTGTTACAGTGAAGGCACGATAATCAGCTCATGGCATATAGGTGTAAGCAGGGGTCAAGTGCTATTTTTATAGGTGGTGTGTGGACCTAACATAGGGGGGTCCGGGGGCAAGCTCCCCCGGGAAGATATTTTTTTCAATCTTGAAGTTAAATGCATCAATCTGGTGCACTTTGAGAGCAAAATGAAGAGATCTAGATACCTCTCTCAACACCCATATGAAACAGAACTGGAAATAGATTTTCTATTTCTTTATAGATATTTTACAAATCACTCCCCTTTTAAACTTTATTCTTGTTTTACTGTCATATAGTATTTCATAGCTGTTTTTCATTTATTCTCTTATTTTTTTTAAACTATAATAATCATATAAATGTGTACCTCGGAAATAATTGTTTACATTAATGGTGACCAAAACGTTTGAGACCCACTGAGATAACACTCAGAGTCCTTTAGTTCACTGAGTCTCTCAGTCTGACAGGAGAGGACTCTCCTCCACTTTGTTGTTGAAAAAACTCCTTATATCCGTTAGCATAGCTCGCTAGCACCAGAAGCTAACAACAACGATCTCCGGTACCGGTGCGCTCTCTCTCTCTCTCGCTCGCGCCCACAAAATGGCTCGTTCCACACACACACAGAGCCGAGCTTTAATGAAACACAGACGTAATAATACTGTACTGCATCATATTATTTTCGAATCAATAATTTTTCAAATTATGAATATTTTATTTTATTTTATTTTTTAATAACCATTTTTACTCCTGGTCTCTCGCACCCCCCCCTCCCCCCCTGGCATGCCTCTGTGCCCCCCAGGGGGGGCGCGCCCCCCACTTTGAGAACCACTGCACTAACTCAACCACATCATCTTTACTGTCATATTCATAGTGCTGCAGGGATACAGTCCAAGACCTGAAGCTAATTAGAATTTGTTGTGAGTAATTCTTTAATTTGCCAGTGAGTAATTTGCAATGCTATAAAGGTTGATTGTGGGCTTCCTAGGCTTTATTATTGGAACCCTGTCTTTTAGTTATTCTTTTAGTGCATATTCCCCTAAGTCACATTGCCCATAGCCACACTTATATAAACATAGGAGTGTATTAAAGACATAAACTTTGATTTTTTGTCATCAGCAACATTACAAACACTGACAGTATTACATGTCTGGGAGACAAGACTTCTGAAGAAAAATGTGTTCGTATTGACTTTCAAAATTACTTGGTTGGAATTGTTTCCCTTATTAGGAAAACGGGATGTAATTGCACCTCAGATCCATGCTGTGGCTTTCTGTCAAATGTAATGGGGGTATAACTTGTTACTTCTCTCTCTTTGTATAATGTCAAATGGCAGGGAAAAGCCAACTTGTTCTTCTAAGGGTTAAATCAAAAGCTTTTGTTTTATAATGGATATAGCCAATCAATCACATGTTAAAAGCACGGATAAAATATCTTAATGAATAATAAATAACATCCAAATATTTTACATGCCATTATAAAAAGATTTAAACAAATAGTGTTTATTACATTACATAACATTACATTTCATTTAGCTGACACTTTTATCCAAAGCGACTTACAATAAGAAAACCATTTCAAGTGATATCAACAATATGCCAGTCCTTTGTTAGTATATAAGTGCTTAGTTAGTATCTAAGTGCGTTTTTTTTATTGCTCGAAGTGGAGTCGAAAGAGATGAGTTTTCACTCTGCGCAGGAAGGTGTGTAAGCTTTCTGCTGTCCTGATGTCAATGGGGAGCTCATTCCACCATTTTGGAACAAGGATAGCAAACCGACGTGTTTTTGCTGATGGGAACTTGAGTCCCCCTCGCAGTGAGGGTAAAGCGAGCCGTTTGGCTGATGCAGAGCGGAGTGCACGTGCTGGGGTGTACAGTTTAACCATGTCCTGGATGTAGGAAGGGCCAGATCCATTCACAGCATGGTACGCAAGTATCAGTGTCTTGAAGTGGATTCTAGCAGTTACCGGAAGCCAGTGAAGGGAGCGGAGGAGCGGCGTGGTGTGGGAGAATTTAGGAAGGTTGAAGACCAGACGAGCAGCTGTATTCTGGATAAGTTTATGAACAAAAGCTCAATGTGACTGCGAGGTTGACTGTCCTGTTAGTTAAACGACGCTGCCACCGACTCTGTGGCAGCAGGTGACGTGTAATTTCTTGGAATAATTGACCATTTACAGCACAAAAATAAATGTTAATGGATTTTACTAGCTTGTCACGCTGCACAAACCTCAATGAGAGACCCACTGTGATAAGCAGAGAAATGCCCTCACAAATCCTGTGTTTCCCCAGCAAGCACAGATGAGGAGAAAGAGTCAGACATGTCCAAGAGATAAAACCTTATGAAGGGGCCTGGCGTCGACCAAGACGTCGCTGTGCATATATCCTCCACACTCACACCGTTGAATAAGGCTGTTGACAGAGCTACAGCCCGTGTGGAGTGTGCACGAATCCCCGTGGGGCAGGCTCTCCCCGCCTGTCCGTAGGCATGTGCAATGCACTCGCAGAGCCAGCCTGCCAGGCGTTTCTTGGACAGAGTGTTCCCGATCACACCGCCCCCGAAGCACACGAACAGCTGTTCAGTGCGTCTAAGGGCAGCCGTGCGCTCCACACAACTAGCGCACACACCGGGCAGAGGAGGTGCAATTTAGCTTCCCTGGCCCCATCATGGGGGGGAAGACTAAAACCCCCTAACTGAATAGCCCTCGACCTGAACGCACTCCTTAGGTTTTTGGGCACAGAGGAGGGGTTCGGTCTGAGTGTCGCACAGAGCCTCGAGCACTAGGGGCAGGTCCCACTGTGGGGTGGAGACGTACACTACTGGGTCCAGCCTCCTCACCCTCCCCTGTAAAAATCGCAACATCAGTTGTTGACTAAAGGCTGACCTGCCATCAAATCCAGGACGAGATGGCTGCTGCATACACCTTCACTGTTGAATGCGCCAGCCCTCTGTCCACCAATAACTGTAAAAAGGATAAAATAGAGCCTAACTCACAAGATAGGGGCTCTATTCTCCGCTCTTCACACCATCGCTGGAATCCCAGCCACTTTGGCCTGTAACAGGCTGTGGTGGATCCAGCTCTAGCTGCCTGGATAGACTGAATAACGCTGTCAGACAATCCACCCTGTCTCAGCCTGTCCCTCTCATAAGCCAAGCCTGGAGAGGTTGGCCGAGAGTGGGTAACACCCCGCTTGCACCTGCCTCTTGAGACATCGCCCCCAGAACTGGGGAACCGCCCAGGGCTGGCCCACCTTCATCTGTGTCATTTCTGAGTACCGCGGCGCCCCAACGTGGTCCGGAGCCACTAGAATGACTGATAGACGTTCTCGCCTCACTCTCCCCAGGAGAGGGAGAATGAGACGCAGCGGCAGAAAGGCGTAGAGCAGCTTCCTTGGCCATGGCTCGTGTGCAAACGCGTCCCCCCCCCCAAGGGCAGGTCGTCGCTCAGGGCCATGGAGAACCACATACTTTCTGTGCTCCAGAGCAATTTCTGTATGACAGTACGCGTCTTTCACATCGATGGTGGTGAACCAATCGCCTGGCTGCACAAGCCCCAGTAACTGTAACATGCGGAGGGGGGGGGGGGGGTTCTAGTGACTTGAAGCCCACTTCGGGATTCGTCCCGAACGTCCTGATG